GGGACACGGGGCGTGTCATTCAAACCTCAGTCACAAACCGTAACTATGGGAAACAGACGCAGACCTCCTAAACGGAACTGGAAAACCCTAGAAACGCTGTCCCGAGAAGAGTTAGCCACTCCCCACCTGCTTCGAGGACCAGTGACTGACCTGGCCATCCCAGCCCCTCCAGGCCCCAAGACACGCATGTCTGTCCCCATTATGACGCACTGGCTCGGGTTCAGAAGATGCCCCGCGCCCCCCCACTTTTGGGCAGAGATGCCCCAGGGGGTAGCCGGGGGTCCCAGGCCACTCTGCTCTGCACAGACTTCATGCTCAGCTGGGTCTGAACATGGAACGTCCTGCCACCCTCCACAGAGCGGCCCTCGACCTGTGCCCTGGGCTGGGTCTCCCTCCGGGCCATCGCTCCTTGCCCTGCCCATCTCCCGTGCTCACCTGGCTGGCACACCAAGCTCCCTGCTCACGCTCTCCAGCGAAGCCCACTCACCCCGCAGGACAAGAGTCAACAAAGCAGGCCACTTCCACTCTACCCAACCCAAAAGGAATCTCCGAAATGCCGTTGGTTGAAAATCTGCAGGCAAGGTGAGAGCTTGTGCCGCATGAAGGCTCCAGTTGAGACACTTCTGCTTTGCACGTGGCTGGGAGGCGGTCAGATGGCAGAATCTCCTGGGTCCTCGATGCCCGTCAGCCCCAGACACACCTGAACCTTGATTCTGGGGTGGAAGCCAGGCTCTGCTCGTCAGTGGCTTTATGAGTCGGCATGACTCCTAACCTCTCTGTGCCTCAGTTTCCTTAACCGTGATATGTGCATGCATGCTCGGCAGATTTTGCCACAAACGTGAGCTGTCAGAGCGCAAACCGGGTAGGAACCCACAGAAATAACTGAGGTGCTTCAGCAACCAGACGACACCAACGGCCCAGACCTCAATAGCATGTCTTTCTGAAGACTCGAACAAGCTCCTGTTGTGTGCCTGGCCCTCCTACTGGCTGGGGTGTACTCACAGGCATGTGATGTCACCAGGAGCAGGCATGTCTCAGACAGGGTTGGAGTCACACCAAGGTGACAGGCCAACTGCCCAGGGACCAGACAACGGCCCAGGCACTCTTAGACGGCGTGAGAAGCCAAGGTGACTTTGCAACGGTAATTAATCCTACTAAAAGTTCCTGCGATTAGCGGCGTTGCTACCCCCAAAAAACGATTATTAATAAGAGAAGAGCTTCCTAATGAATCTCAAGTAGACCCTAGAATTCCCTGACTGCCCCCAGAAGCCTTTGGGTTCCAGAGTCCGAGCGAGCGCTCCTTGCTGTCAGCAACTCCAAGAAGCAACTGGCCTCATGCTGGTGGCTGGGTGGAGACACCACATCTTCCATGGAAGCTTCTGGTGGCTGCCAGTGTTTTCGAGGGCAAGCAAGGCTATCTGTGATTTCATCTCGATTAAGAGCAGAAGGAAGATGAGATCAACAGCGCTCAGAACACAGCCCTTAGGAAGGTCCGGGTGCTCACGGTCTCCAGGGCCCATTCTCCCTCCGACCAGCCCGGCCCCTCCCCTCCATCACCAAGGCTCCTTCTTAGGAAACTTAAGGCCCTTGTATCTCACCCCTTGCTGGGCTGGCCGTAATGCACCATGGACGACAATCTTCCTGTGTCCCACCCCAGGATCCCTAGGAGGGGCCAGATGTGGGGGCACCCGGGCTCTGGGCTGCTCTGTAGGGAACCGAAGGGCTCACAGGGAGCCCTAAGTGGGCTCCAGTGGCTGGCTGGGCAGGTGGGGAAACCGAGCTTGCCCGGGGCCCCTCGGGTAAGCTCTTAACAAATACCAGAGCCCAAACTGCAGCTGGATGTCTCCTGGTGTCGGGTGACCTGAAGTTGTCCAGTGGACAGTTAGGACTCTGACAAATATCAGCACCGCTGGGAGGAGGGACGCCTGACAATGAGCGTCTCTAATGAACTACAGAGTCGTTGTGTCTCAGCGGGGACAGGACCCAGGCTCCGCACACGTGGGGTCCAGCCCATGCAGCAGGAAAAGGCTCCGTTCTCTGTTGTCACGTTAACAGAGAACGGAATTCTGTTGGTTGAGGTTTTACCTTCTAATTTCAAGTTTGAAAGACTATGTTTCCAATGCTTGCCTGTTTAAAGGCTGCATCTCAATGTGCCGCAAACCACATCTCTTGTCTTGCTTGATTTCCCGTATTTGCTCCTGCTCTCAGGCGTGCTGCTGAGACTGAAAACACAGCCTACATACAGCACCAGGGCTCACTCAGGCAGACCTGCGACTCCTCAGTGGGGCTGCAGGTAAAGTGAGCTCTGAGACTGGATACCTGCCCCGGGGCCGCCCTGGGCCCCCTCCTCACGTGGCCTCCACTTCCAGGGGACTTGGGAGGCTTTGTCTCACTTCAGAGGTGGTTGGGGACAAGCAGGGTCTCCAACGACCCATCATTATTTGTTTCATATTGACCCTGGACCACCAGAGCTGTGTGTGCTCCTAGAAGCATGTATCCCTATAGACAGCCAGGAAATGGCTGCATTCAAGATCTTTCCCGGCCCTCGGAGACCCACGGCCACCCGCTGTGGACCGCTTTGGAGGAAACAGGGTACTTCAGAGCCTGACCCAATGGGCACGCTCTGGTTTTCCCAGAGACAGTTCTGCTCATGGCTGACACCCACTCGGGATAGCTATGGCTCATTGGCATCTTTTTGCCTTACCGCTGCCCCTACAGAAAGCTCCAAATACCACCAGTTGGGGATGCATTCACCCAGCCCTGGAGGGATTGGTGTGCCTTCCTTACAGGTCGCGTGGGTACATTCAACTACCAGCACAGGTCTGACACCATCGAGACAATGCCAACATTCGGCATTTTTCAGAGGCTTGATGCTACTTCATCTTAACCCTCCCATTTAGCCCAAGAGGACGGGCTGAAGGGCTTTCGTCCTCCTTCTCAGAGGAAGATCCTGAGGTTCAGAGAGGTGAACTGACTTGCCTAATGCAGCCAGTAAATGGTGGATTAATCTCTAATTCCACTGTCTGCCTTGGGAGCTGGGGTCTCCTGGGGTCCGGCAGCCCCGGGGCATTCCTGTGTGTGGCTGTGGGGGCTGGGGCAGATGCTCCCTACTTGAGCGGTCTGCTCAGTGACTTCACCTGTGAGCTTGTTAGAAATGCAGATTCTTGGGCCCCACCCCAGAGGTCCCCAAGTGATTGTTGCACTCATGGAAATTTGGGATGCCCTGGAAGGCTGACCTCCCAGGTCCACCCTGACCATCTGCAACTCAAATGACGATGGGGAATTTGGGGAGTCGGCCACGGCTTGGGCTCGGATACCTGCCTGCCTGGGGGCGTGGGGGCCCCCTCAGTAGCTCTTGTTGCCACTGAGCTGTGCCCAGGACTGCCCAGATGTCACAGGTGGTCCTAGGGAGGGTGGGAGCAAGGGCCAAGGTCTGCGGACCACAGGCCACTTCGGCGGCCCTTTGCTCCTCACCACCCAGCAGTCCCCCGTCCCTTCCTTTGCAGCTGCTGACACGTTCAGCAATGCCCGCTGCATGGATCCTTGTAAGGGGCTGACCTGGGTGCCCAGCAGCCCAGGGACTGGCTGACCTGGCTCAGCTCTGAGGGCCTCATCTTTCCCTGCGCTGTCCACAGCTCCTCCTAAGCCACCTGCAATGGCCCCTTCTTTCTTGGCTCCCTGGAGAGCCCAAGGGGAACAAAAAGACAAGAACCCACCATCCAAAGGCCCAGCCCTACCTGGAGCCTGTCACCGTCTTCAAGAAACACACCTTCAAATGCATACATGGGAGAGGTGGTAGAAGTACATGTCCACTTAGATTATCAGGCCTGGCCTGACCCGGACCATCAGCTTTGACCTGATCCCCTCTACCTTCTGCCTCCCAGCTCCACACCCAGACCCAGGTGCAGACCCAGTCCTAAGGGAGTCCTCCGGCTGGGGTGTGCAGGGCCCAGGACAGTCAGCCTGAAGATCTCCAGGCCTGTCTTCCCCCTTCAAGCCCCAGGTCTCTCCAAGCAAGCAGCCGCCCCCACCCCTGCAGGCCCAGGCAGAGGTTCAGGGTGCTAAAGATATAGAAGGCAGCCCCAGAGTGCCAGGAGGGAGGACAAGCCCTGAGGTGTGGGCAGCCAGGGTGGGTGAGGCAGGGTACTGCAGCCCCCAGCCGGCTGTGGCTGGGCTGGCACTGGGAACCGCAGCCCAGAGAGACCAAGGGGCCTGGGGGAGGCGAGGAAGTCCCCCCCTCCATCCCCAATGCAGGCCTGGGACCGCACTGATTCCGCATTGGGTGGGATCGCAGGACCCCCGCCCCGCACACCACGGCAGGCGGGCAGGCAGCAGCTGATGCTCTGCGCGCACCTCCCGTGGAGCTCCTGGGGATTTGGGGGTTCAGAGTCGCTTGGCTTTCTGCCCCCGCCCCCCCCCCCGCCAGCCCAAGATTCCTGCGCAGCCCAGCAGATTGCAAAAGTCTGGGCCCAGCCCCCTCTTCGGGGCCGGAGCTTCGGGGCCGGAGCTCCGGGGCCTCCCTCGCCAGCCCCACCAGGCAGGTGGCCCGTCTCCCCCGAGGCCCGCGCGCGGTCCCCGCTGCAGCAGACCTCGGCTCCCCCGCCGCCGCCGCCTCCGCGCGGCCCCCCGGCTTTCCCGACGCGGCCGGGGAAGGGCCCCGCTCCCCGCCCCCGCGCCCCCCGCGGCCCGGCGCGAAGTTCCCCAAAGTGACCGCGGCACCGAGAACCCCCGCCCCC